GCACTTAACAACCACCTGCATACTTCTTCTTCGCACTTCCTTGTCACCAATTTTCCAATCACGTTTCTTCTAAGTCCCTGACCAGCCAGCCAAATCATTAGCCACAGTCCATGAAATCAGTCTGACCTAAATTTGGAACTCTGCCAAGTGTATGTTTGTGAAGAATCCTGGCGTGGCACTGTAGGTTAAGTATGGGACTGCAAAATTGGTGTGGACCACCAGTTTGGTGGTTCAAACCCACCAGCCACTCCTTAAAAATCCTATACAGGATCGCTATGGGTTGGAACCGACTCAACAGCACCTAACAACAATACATAGATGTGTATGTATATGGAGTTAGTTCTGGTGTCACACTGGACTGAGAAGTCGCTGAACTGCAAAGTCAGCAGTTCAAGCACACCAAGCGCTCCCCAGAAACCCTATACAGGGATGCTATGGGTCAGAACAGACTAGACGGCATATAACAACAATTATGTATGTATGTATGTATGTATGTATGTGTGTGTGTGTGTGTGTGTGTGTATGTATGTATGTAAAGTTTGCTTCTCTAGAGATTCCAGCCTAAGACACAGATCAAACATGGAATTTTATGTTTGTGGCAAGTATGCAATAAATATTTCTTCAGGAATGCCTGCTGTCCAGATACTCCCAGCAGAAGATTTCAAAAACAATGTTTATACACAAGTCATTCAAATTTGGCCAGGTTTTGAGCACTCACGCCCTTGTGTTCAATTTGGATTAGTTGTTTGCAGTTCCATTAATTTAACAGGAAGGGCTATAAATCTCAATCAAGTAAATGTTCTTTCTTTTCTCAGTTAATTTCCTACTCATTGTCCAATGACCAGTTCAAGCTCCACTTCTGCTGAAGACCACCATGATTCTCTCTTTTCTGTGGCCTAAAAGGACCTCTCAAAATGAAAGCTAATTGAGACTTTCATTTACAAAGAAAAGAAATTACACTCCACAAAGAGTGAATGATTTGACCAATGTCAGTTAATGACAAAGAGATTCTCAAGTTCTGATCCAATATACTTTCACCAAACTGATGTTTCAAATTTGGTATTATTAAGTACTATCAAAATTCATAGTGACCCTGCATATAGGGTTTCTGAGGAGCAGCTGGTGGATTTGAACCACTAACCTTGTCCAGAGCTTATCCCATAGCTCTACACCAGGACTCCACTTGTCTGAACTCCAAGGTCTAACCTCCCAGATATTTTATATAATGATACAGAAATTGCTTACTAGATGAAAATATTTCTTAAGAGCCAATTCTTAGAACTCCATGGTCTAAGCTTCCAGTTGTGGTCCATAGGGCTTTTTCAACAACATTACTGATGATTCTACCCACGGACCTCATAGGATATACTAAACAAAAAACAAATCAACTATATTTTTGGAAAGAGAAGATGGTTGAATAGCTCACTATCTTAAGTCAAAACAAAGCAAGGTGCCAACAGTGGGACAGGTTGTCAATTCCTCATGTGCAAGTTGAACCTGAACATGAATGAAGTAAACCAAAACAAGTCAACAAAGGCCAAAGAATGGCCTTGAATAAAATCCCACCTGAATTTAGAGACCATCTCAAGAATAGATTTAATGCACAGAACACTAATAGCTGAAAACAAGAAGAACTGTGAGAAGAAACTGAAGGATCATTAAAAAGACAAAATGATGTCAGAAGAAACTCCAAAACTTGCTCTTAAGTGCAAAACAGCTAAAATGAACAGAAGAAATGATGAAGTGAAGATGATGAAAGAGCTGAAAAAAAGACTTCAAAGTGTGGTTTGAGTATGCAAAGTAAAATATTATGATGACATATTCAAAGATCCGGAGTTAGAAAACCAAAAGGGAAGAACATGATAGGCATTTCTCATTCTGAAAGCAATGAACAGAAAATTCAAACCTTGAGGTGCAATACAGAGGGGTTCCTAAGAGAAAAAAAATTGTACCATGCAGGGAAGCGCCAAAAAAAGATGGAAAAAATATAGACAGCTACGGTACACCAAAAGTTCTGACCAAAGTCCAATCATTTCTGGAGACAGAATATGAACAAGAATAGCTGGACATCAAAGGAAAAATTCAAGATACAATGCAAGCATTGAAAGAAAACAAAAACAAAGGCTCAAATAATGGACAGAATTAGCAATTGAGATATGTTTCAATAAACCAATACATTGCTTGGCAGAGCTTACTCATCTATGTCAAGAAATTTGGAAGAGCTGGTCATTGAACTAATAGAGCTCCACACTCAAGCCCAATCTAAACAAAGGCGATCAAATAGAATGTGGAAATTATTGAATAATATCATTAATTTTATCATGCTAGCAAAATTCTCCTGAAGATAATTAAAGTTTGATTAAAATGAGGATGAGGAACAAATGTATCATTGCTGATATCAGATGGATCTTGACTGAAAGCAGAGACTACCAGAAAGCTGTTTATCTGTGTTTAATGACTGTTCAAAGACATTCAGACTGTGTGATAGTTGCAAAGAATATATTTTTAGAAAACTAAAATAATTACGATCATGCAGAACTAGAGGAAGTATTTGAACAAAACAAGTGGATACTGCATGGTTCAAAATTGAAAAAGATGTGCAGCAGGGTTGTACTCTTTCACCTCACTTACTCAACCTGTACACTGAATAAATAATCTGAAAAGCTAGCCTATACTTTTCAGTATAGCTATACCATACTTAGTATCAGGAATGACGGAAGAGTTATAAATAAATTTTGACACATAGATGAAACAACCTGGCTTGCCAAAAATGAAAGTAACTTAAAGCACTTATGAAACTAACAAAGGTCAAAGACTATAGAGCTTTTAATGTGGTTACACCTAAATATGAAAACAGAAATCCTCATAACTAGACCAATAAATATCATCATAAGTGGAGAAGAAATCACAGTGGTCAATTGAAGGACTCATGGAAACCAAACTTAAGAAATCAAATGACATTAGGAAAATCTACTGGAAAAGATTTCTTTTATAAGAGGACAAAAGTAAGGGCGTCATCTTGATGACTAAATGTGTCTGACCCAAGCATGGTGTTTTCCATTGCCTCATATGTATGCAAACGTTGTTATTAAGTGTCGTCAAGTCAGATCCAAATCATAAGCAACTCTGTCGGGGTTTCCAAGGAGCGGCGAGTGAGCTGGAATCGCCAATCCTGCAATTCGAGCCAACTTTGCAGTTCTCTAACCTGCAGTGCCACACCAAGATTCAGAAACATCACAAAGTAAAAGAGAGAAAAATATCAATACACTGTAACTGTGGTGTTGGCAAATATTAAATATAGGGTGGACTGCCAAAAGAATAAACAGTCTTAAAAGAAATACAACCAGAATGCTCCTAAGAAGCAAGATTGGTGAGGCATTATCTTGCTTACTTTGGACATATTTAGGCAAGGCTGTGAGTTGGTACCGACTCGATGGCACTTAACAACAAGTGCTCGAAAATAATAAAGTAAAGGACCAAGAAAACTAGGAAGCCTTCAGTGAAATGGGGTGACACGATGGTTACAACATACAAATAGATTTGAACATACCAACAATAATGAAGCTGGTCCAGGACCAGGCAGCAATGTTTCATTCTTTTGTGTCTAAGGTAATCCTGAGATGAGCCAACTCCTGAACCACCACTACACATCTATCATGGTAAAACTTATTTATGGTAAAGTGCTAGAAAACGTGATGATTTCAGTATCTGCTTGAATATGGTTAGAAGAGTAGGTGGTAGGAGTGGGTGAGAATGGTCAAATAATTTCAAACTAAGTTATTTCTTTCTGGAATAGCTATCCTGTCTTTCCAACTTAACTCCTTAACTGAAATCTGCCTCCCTTATAATTTCTACTTATTGATCCTAGCGCTGCCATTTAGGATTAAAAAAAAAAAAAAAAAAAAACCACATATTTTAAAACCACTCTCATGCTGTTGCTCTAAAATCACTGTCTTTATATACATATTTTAACATCCCTAAAATTTCCCTTACTTCTTAATACAGAACACAGTGTTTAAACAATAAGAAGTACAGAGACTCTTAAATTAAGTGGTCTTATGATGTTGATGTCTTACAGTCCTGGTCTATAAATGCACTATACACATCGTTTGTTTTTTTTTGTGAAGTACTTCAAAAATTGGTTCCGATTCATAGCTACCCTATATAGTGTTTCCAAGGGCATCTGGTGATCATGAACTGCCAACTTTGCAGTTCCAACAGACATTGCAGTCTAGTGCATTAACCCACAGTGCCACACCAGGACATTATATGTAACAAGATGAATGTTTAGAATTTTTAAGACATAATTGAACATGTCCAAAATTAAAATTATCTCTCATACCTGCTCCACAAGCTTTTCTTTTTAGGCATCTCTGGATGGAATAAAACTTCTACTCTTTTGGTTAGCAGCTGAAATGGATTAATAATCTGCACTATCCAGGGACTCTTAGATTTGAGATAGTCAAGGGTAAATGGAAAACAGGGTTCTCCCACTGAGTTAACTGTTATTGTCCAATGTTGCTGTTGTTGTTCTTAAGTGCCATCGAGTAGGTTCTGACCTGGCGCGACCCTTTATAGGGTTCTGAGGAGTAACTGGTGAGCTTGAACCACGGACCTTGTGGTTCAAAACAACCTAAGTTCAGCACATTAATCCACAGTGCCACACCAGGACTCCATTAATGTCCAATAGTAAACCCCAAATGGCTGTTTACAATGATCCAAGTTGACAAGTTGAGCAGCATAGTATAAACTGGAAAATATATACATACCACTGCCTACAATTTCATTCATAACATAGCATGCACAGTTATAAGCATTAATTTTCCTCATTATTTTAATAATCTACTAAAATGCTAACAATGTTTTCATTCACACTGTTTACAATGAATGAAGGAGGCATCAATCAGTGTGTCCACATGTGTAAACAAAGCAGCAAGGATGGTTTAGGAAGAAATTACAACTGAAATCATGCTAGTATAATCTAATGATGAAATGCTTACCTTATCATATTGGCATACAACAACATTTTCTGTATCAAAGAGTTCCTGTCCTTCCTCATCACTCACATCATCTTCACTATTGAGGGGCTCCTAACAAATAAAAAAGAAAAGCTTATTTATTCATATCTCATATATTAATACCAAAAGTCCCTAACATTCTATTAAAAAGCATACATGGTGACTTGCCTGGTTGTTTCTTGAGAACAAAGTACCAAATGTAAATATATGAACCATGAACATTAAATTTATGACTTAAGAGTTAGGCAACACTAGTAAAATCCCAGCAAGAAACTAAATACAGTGATAAAAATGGTTAAGCTATCTAACTTTTAAGTCTAAAAAAAGATTCAACTTTATTTTCTTCATTTTTAAAGACTCAAAAGCATTATCTGCAGTAACAACTTCAGATGCCTAGAAGCAGACCTGAGCAAGTATGATGGTGTGATGAGATAATTGTGTTATATAATAGACAGGGGAGAAAAGGGCTAGAAAACAGGCCAGCAGTCTGGCTTGTATCTTTTTTATTTTTCTTATTCCCCCCTTTTCCCCATTCCAACCATGTCTCAGTTTCTGTATCCCAGAGCCCTGTTTTCTAAAGCTGTGCCTACATCATTTTTTACCTGTCCCATTTAGCCCATTCATACCTAATTGTTCTCCCATCTGCTTTGTTCTTCCATTCCCCTCTCCCTACTTATATACTGCCCCCCTCCCCAATACCCAAATTATCCTGTGTCTATTCCCTGCCCTGTGCTCCACTTCCCCTCCCACCCCTAACCCTACCCCCCCTACATCCTAGCAACCAGCTAAGAATCCACTTTAGTGGATTAGTATGGGTTCTTTTTCTTAGTCTTTTATATTAGTGGTCCTATGCAGTATTTTTCCTTTTGTGACTGACTAATTTCACTCAACATAATGTCCTTAAGGTTCATACATGTTAGGAAGTGGCATGCAGCTTCCTTGATATTTTTCAAGGTAGCATAGTACTCCATTGTGTGTATGTACCACAG